TTGATTGTGTCAAACAAGATTTCTTCCTTTGGATTTGATGAGATTTGCAAAATAATTGGTYCTGGCAGTTTTGAGCATCTCATTTAAGGAGCTGTGAACCTCCAGCTTGGTTCTTTTCCACTGACGCTCAGCCTTACAGCAAACTCTCCTCATACTAAGGACTTCTTTATTAATCCAAGTACAGTTTGTGCGCTGCACAGTGCTCTGTTTTACAGGTGCTATAGTGTCCAAAATATCTATACAATGAGCGTTAAAACATGAAACATATGAGTCCACATTAGTGATGTTATAATCTAAAGAGACAGAATCAAAAAGTGAAGTAAAGGCTTCAGRWGTGWGCTCRTTTATGATCYGCCTTTGGATCATAAGTCTAGGAGGAGCTGGATCAGAACTAAAAGACACATGAAAATATATACAATTATGATCACTTAAAAATATATCCTGCACACAAACATCCTCCACCTTAAGGCCTAAGGAGAAAACAAGGTCCAATATATGGCCTTTTTTATGAGAAGGCACACACACACACATGTTGAGTAAAATGAAATGAGTCAGTGATGGTGATCAAGTCAGCAGCTGTCTTACAGGAAACATCATCAATGTGAAGTTTAAAATCACCCAAAACATTCTCCAGCTTAATGATGGAAGACAGAAGCTCAGTGAACTCAGATAAAAACACACTGGCTGGCTGCACCTGGAGGACGGTAAATTAAAATACAGGAAGTACAACAATGCGTAATCAATCAGGAATTACTCTGTTCTGAATGAACTTTTCACAGGACAGTCAGTTTGGTCAAAGGTCATGAAAAAGGAAAGGTTCATCAAGCTGCTGCACTAATATTCAGATAATGTCCCAATATGATTCACTGAGAGCTCTGTGTTCAGCTTGATTCACACCTAACTGAAGATAAAGACCTCCTATTTATTCAAAGATGTATTGAACTTTATTTTCAAGCTCATTAGTTAAAACCACCAGATGTCAGTATTTCCTCAAGTACAACTGTAACCTGCTCTAGAACTAGAACAAACAGTACACGTAATTAAAATAAAACTGGTACAGTTCACATCAAACAGCCTTTGAAATTTAACTTGCATTTAACTTTCATATAATTTCATGGAAATCATTGAATATGAAATAAACAGAGTTTGTTTTGTATGAAAAGTGACGGGAGTTAAGTCAAACGTGAAAACAAAATTAGCTTAGAGAAACAAAAGACAGAGAAAACACACACACACACACACACACACATATATATATATATACACATATATATATTTTTTCAAATTAAAGCTGACTGTATAATGTTATTTTGTCTTTAATTTAGACCAACAACCACCTGACTGTTGCAAAATATTTAAAACATTTCAATCAGGAACCAGGCCAATATAAACCTGTGATGCGTAATTATTTTGAGAGCTAATAGGTTAGCTTAGCATGTATGGCAACAAGCTGACAGGTGAAATAGCAAGGGTGGTTGTGTTCTGTTTGTATTAGCAATCTAAAGAAAACCCCTATATTTGATCTCCTAACATGAACATAATGTTTATTTTTGCATTTAACATTTAAAACAGTTAATCATTTGTTAAACCTTTAAACATATCAACACTGGAAAAATGTCTTTTTAAGATTTGACCTGCTCCTGCTGACTGTGAAAAAAACGGAAACCGTTCTTATCACATCAAATCATTCAGATTCCTGGTTAAGTAACCTGTCTCCGTTTAAGCTGGCAATGTTTTAGCAAGGTAAAGATAAGAAGAAACAACTCAATTCACACATAAAATACAAACACTGATTTTCCAAATTAAAAGCTATGATTACCAATGTGCTCATCTGTAAATATGCTGTATATATTAAAATTATACATGAATAGGTTGGGGCTGCAGTGCAGGCTATCACTGTTGCCCTGCAGTGAGAAGCTCCTGGATTCAGCTTCCAACTGAGACCTTTCGACAGGGACTTCTCTATATACTTGCACAGATTTTGTCCAAATACTACAGTTTCTTTCCTAGTCCAGAAACATGCATGCTAGGTTAATAGATGACTAAATTGCCCCTAGACTTAAGTGTGTGTGAACAGTCATTTGTTTCACTGACAATCTGACAGCATATCCTGCCTATTACCTAAGGACAGTTGGAGATATAGTACAATGAAAAGTAGAGTAGCTCCTTATGACCATTAACAGGATCAAGCGGGTAAAAAAAATGGATGTATGATTTGCCTTACAGTCAGCATTCCTACCACTATTTTCATTCAACCATTCAGYTAATTAATCAAGTACCGGTACTCAAGTGTATGATGGATAGTGAAGAGCATAGAACGGACTTGGTTATATCTGACTCTTGGGTCCTCTTCGGTTTGAAAATGTGTAATTTAGTGAGCCAATCAGATCTGCAGAACAGAAGTACATTGTTGTTAGGATTTCAAAGTTAACACAAGTTAAATTACAGATCCAACGTACCCCTGAGCCTTTTAGATTTACTTGCCACTAGAGAGTGCAGACAGCAGAACAAAAGGAAGACAAGCTAAGGCTACCCCAGAGCAACACTTTACAGAACGTTCACGATGATAATGGACCTCAGAAGTGTCAAAAACAAAGGATCGCCTTCCTTGGCTTATGCAACAGTATAAATAAGAAGAAAAAGTGGAAAATTTGGTGTTTTGCTGAGTCAGTCCTTCAGAACACCTGGTTTAAACTGTAAACATCTAATCGCTGACTACCCTCAACATTTTTTCCTCTCAAATATCTAAACCAAGCCAAATTCCCTGCAAAACACGTTTAGTCATCCCATTGAACCATGCCACTTGAAAAGACCTGCATCATGGCTTCTTTACCAAGAAATCATGATCAAGCTAATCAAAACCAAAACACACCCAGGTCACACCCTGAATGAACTGCCACAGCTGATCTGAGCCAATACAACTAGACATACCAGAATAACTCAAAGGCATTTCACGTCATAGTTCTAAACTAAGATCATCTTGTGTTACGAAATTGTTTATTGCTGGTTTAGTCAAGCTTTGTAAATCATATGAGCACTCTCTTGCTCAAGATCTAATGAGATGTTTGTGTTGAGGATGATCACATATAATAGAAGATATAAACAATCTTACGTAAAAAAAAAAAACAGAATCATGGTCCAGGCTTTAAATGTGTCCTGACTCAGCAAAATAAAGTAAAAACAATAAAAAGTAAAAACAAATTTACATTTAGCATGTAACACG